ACAAAATGAAAACCTGTGTTGCCAAATGAGATCTAAGTAGGAAAGAAGGTAGTGAACAGGGGAAGCCAGCTGGTGATTGGAGTTGCCGCACTCTTAGAAAAAAAGGTGCTATCTAGAACCATAAAGTCTATTTCGGCTGTCCCCATAGGAGAACTCTTTGAAGAACCCTTTTTGGTTCCAGGTAGAAACATTTTGGGTTCCATATAGAGTCTTTCTACAGAGGGTTCTACATGGAACCAAAAAGGGTTCTCCTATGTGGACAGCCGAAGAACACTTTTGGAACCTTTTTTCCTAAGAGTGTGTGGATAGGATAGAGATGTCCTTTTTCTACTCAAGATCCAGGCCATGCTCCACTTCTCTTCTCTCCACAGTTTAGGTTTTGGTTTGCCAAATTTCATTGCGTGATTAATTAATTGAAATGCAGGTTCCTATATTACATTTACATTTACGTCATTTAGCAGACGCTCTTATCCAGAGCGACTTACAAATTGGTGCATTCACCTTATAGCCAGTGGGATAACCACTTTACAATGTTATAGACGTTCTATCCATCTGTTGTATGGAGATTTGACTGATCCTGATCCCCCCAGAACCTCAACATGCATGGCCCAAATGGCTTTGGAATTTGGAATCCCCCATGAAGCGTTTTTGGAATTTGACCTAGAATTAACTCTCATGGGGGTATCAGGAGTATCTGTTACCTGCTGAATGTGCTGCTGATTTAATCAATTCCTGATGTCAACATCAGCTTGTGTAGCATGAAAAGTACTTGTTTTCTATCATAGTTCTTGTGTGAATGCTTGGTGTGTGTTTATTGGTTTTATGTGTACTTGCTTTGGCAGTCTCAGAAGGCCTCAAAAACGGAAAATGTTGAAACCGTGAGCTAAACTATTGCAACAGTTCCGTTGAAGCTCAATAGGTCACTGGAATAGCTAATCATCTCCAGGTCTCCCATAATGTGGTTAGTTACACCAACCGGATCCCCACTGTGCCAGCTCTGCATCACCTCAAGGTGCTGTGTGTTAGTATTAGGTCACTGTTACAGATTTATCCTGCCTGGGATGGGTTAGTGAAGTCATGGCGGTGTGTGTGCAATGTTAATATTAAATTAACCGACAACGTGTGCGTGTGTGTGTGTAGTGTTTATATCAGGCTAACTGACGTAAGGGGTCATACCCTATGTTGCTAGTGTTTATAGTCCCCATGACTCTCCACACATGGTCCATATCACTATATCGGCAAGACCCTTTACAGGCCCACAATGCATCAGTATAACTGGAAGTCCATACAGGAAACAAAAGTAAACAACCGGCTAAAGTTCCAGTATCCACCACACTAGTAAACAATGTAGTGGGCAATGGGCAAGCATTCTAAGTGGTATGCTAGTATGGATATTAGAATATACTGTAGCATTGGCTCCAATTCACCTAGTTTACATGGTTGGACTCAACTTTTTAGAATTAATCCAAAAAAAAACTAAGATGCAATAGTTTTGGGAACTGAAAATGGCCTGAACTCAATATGGAGAATCCCTAACTTCCCTAAATCCCTGCCAACCCCCCCATCTGTTGTTTACACTAGAGAACCTGAGAGTATGGTAGTGACACCAGAGGGTCATAAATACCTCTGATTGGTCCAACAGGGGCCATACACATTCCGCAGGCTGTCTGAAAACAAGCACACACCACTAAACGGATTAGCCTCCCAATTTATCATAATTATGTTTGGGGTCGTCAAACTCTTAAAGTTGAAACTTGAATGACACATTTAAGTACTGAAATGACAGCTTCTCATCATAATATCACCAGGGGTATTTCCTAATTCTTGTGAAACAGAACTCAGTTTATTACGCTAGTGCAAACTCATTTGCATTATCACTTGTGCTTTGAGAGAGGCCTCAAGGAATTTGTTACTATTTATTTGCAATGATTTGGTTTACAGTGTAGAAAGAGGAAAAACAGAGATGAGTTATTGGACAAAGCACATTTTTTGATTTGCCTGGTTGTATATATGAGTCGTTTCAGGCAAGTTCCTGCTTTCTATTTCGAGATGAGTTGCATTTCTCACCACTGTATCTTCATCACAAGTCCCCAGCTGGTGCAGTCAGTGTTCATTATAGGATCATGCTTAATATGTGACCGCCTCCCTCCAGCTCACCATGGTAACAGCTCCACACACTGTTTCCAGATGCTTCTCCATGGCGACCCGACCCAGTTCTTCCTGGGTACTGTCCGCCCCCCTCACTCTTCCCAAAGGAAACGTGCTGATGATTTGGATTGTTGTCACAGAGGTCCTGTGTGCGCCACATGACCAAGCCACACTTCTCTCTTACATTCACATACGCAGAGGGGGGAGGGGGGAGGGGGGAGAAAGAGACCAGCTGTGGGTAGATACAGTATGTGCTGTCAGTTATCCCCGCTCATTTGTAAATGGAAGATTTTTAACCAACGTTTTGGGAAGGTTTCTTGGAATTTCCATATCAGATGGTCTCATGCCACATAGTTCATTCACAATTACTCAGAATGAAACTAACTAAATTAGCAGTGAGAGAAAGGTAATAGAACTTTCCACCCATGAGAGACGTACAGGGCTATTGTTAGCTTCTCTATCTATCTTTTCTTTCTCTCTCGCTCACTTTACTTTCTTTCTTTCTCTCTCTCTCTCTTTCTGCTCTGTTTTTTCTTTGTGCGTGTGCAGCAGCAGCTGTCTGTTGTCAGATGTGGTTGGAGAGATGTGTTTGTGTGTAGGAAGGGGGGGGGGCTGTGGTCGACAAATGGCAGCGGCCACAGTGTCAGTGTGTGGCAGGCGTCACACTGTCTCTTCCTCTACGTCCAGCTGTCCTTCCTCTCCTCCACGCGGGGGCTCACACCTGAGACTGGCCTCTGCCTGCTACACACACACACCCATGCACATATGCACACACACACAATTATACAGTGTTAAATCAACACTGACAGTGTTAAATTTAACACTGGTCTTGTGTCTATACGGGTCCACACTTTTCAGTGTTACATTAACACACTGCTTAGTGTAAAGCCTTATTTGCATATCACCCAGAGTTAACACCCATGACTGTATTTGTTAATGACAAAGACATGGTTATTGCATTCATCCATTTTCAGATCCTAAGAGAATGTATTGTCATATTATTTAACATAATACAACAAGTATTTAATAAGGCCTTATTTTGAGGGCCTAGTTTTACCCTATACAGTGGCCTGAAACTCAGGGTTTTCAGGCCTGCAAGTCACATTATGATGGCTTGCAAAGTGATGTGTAAATCCTATTGGAATCCAACCAGAGTGGGAATATCCAACATGAATGCCGCAACCTGCATTCAGAATGACTGCCGGGTTGGGAAGACTAAGATATGAGACTACCTAAACCATCTAAACTGGAACAACCATTTCAATAACGGGTGCAATAAAGTAACAGATTACATTAGTTTAGAAAAATGTATGTTATTTATATTTGAGTAGCATAAGATCAATCAATCAATGTCCATGCAAAAACATAGATATTGAAACAAACATTTCAAAAAATCTACCTGCAATAGAGCATGCTGGGAAATATGGTAATGATGGGTGTGGTTTTGGTTTAACACTGGTTATTAACACCAACACTGAGGTTCACTTACAGAGTTAATTTAACACCTGAATCACCACTAGAAATGTTACAATTAAAAATCAACACTAGGTAACACTGGCCAATTTGCTGTGCAGACACATGCACACACACACACTCACTCACTCACACACATGCTCACATGCATATTCTACTATTTGACTTTACTCTATATCATACCTTAAACAAGGACAGCATGGTTGACATCACAGCGTATGCTTATTCATCATCAACTAAAATACATTTTGACTCCTATCTTTCATCATTCATTGTACTTTAAACTCAACACGGCACACGCTCGAATGTATCTATCATTATAATTTCATTTCCATCCCTCTGAGTCCCTGTGATGTGGTGTTTACACACACTGTGATCATAACTGACATAAAGATGTCAGCCACTTATCAATGTTTACAGCCAATGTTTTACCCTCCCTACTCCACTCTACTCCAAAATACAGTGACTGTGACTCACCAAGCCCCTGAGGCTGCTTTTCTTTACCAACTCATTCTGTGTTCCATCTGCTCCAGAGCTCTAATGGAAGCCAATTACACAGTCATTACCTTCTCTCCTCTCTCTCTTCTCATTCACTATCTGAGTCCCTCTGCTCTGTTGTTAACATGAACAACCAGGATTCAAAAGGTACAAACTTAGGTCAGGGAGTCAACCCATTTCTCTCTCTCTCATTCTTTTTTATTTTCTTTCTTTCTTTCCTTTTTTATTTTATTTTCTTTCACTGTATCTCTCTCTCTCCCTTCCTTTCTGCATCAGTAGATGCTCAGATAGTCAGACATAGCTTTTCCTGTGGCAAGGATGAGCTGCCCGTGTTAATGAGTTATTATTGATTAATTCATGAATTTGTACCACTGACTTCCTCCAAGCAGCCTGAGGGTACTCTCTCTGTGGGTTCTCTGGTTACCATGGGAACGCTCCCTGGGGGGCAGGGCAGACATAGGGCTGTAGAGGTTGATTTTATTGATCAGCCTGATTTTTTTGTTTAAAAAAATCCCTGAACCTTGTTTTATCTATATTATCGACCATTTAAAAACACTGTGCCACTCTTAAAGGGAATTGCTAGTGCCACATGTACATTTTTATGAGGCTTGCAGTAGTGGAAGCCTCGAGAAGGGCTCAGCAGGGGGGTATTTTCCAAACTCATAAGAGCAGTATTCTTTTAAAGTTTCCTTAATAGTGTCTTTGAAGAATCGCTCCATACATTTTTAAAATTATTTTTCCCCCCTCATATTTCCCCCATCTCTCACATCCCTGAAAACTGAAAACTCCCCCTAAGTGAAATTTGAATTGCAGATTATTGCAGCTCTTGAGTGCCTACCACACCCACCTCAAACCCAACCCTCTGCTGATCAGAGCAGAAAATGAGAGAGAGAGGAAGAGAGAGGGAGGGGGAGAGAAGGAAAGGGGTAAGAAAGAGAGTGATAGTGTGTGTGAGAGAGAAGAGAGCTAGATAGATAGAGAGAGAGAGAGAGAGAGGGGGGGGGGGGGGTAGAGAGGTCTGATCAGAAGGTCTTCAACCAAACTGTCTCTGAGGAGCTACGAGGTCACCAGTTTCTTGTTTAAGTAAAGCCCTGCTTAGCCCTGTCCAGCCCTGTCATTTGCATTTAAGGTCATTTTACCTGGGGAGATTCTATATATAGATTAGCATTCCATGTGTAAATCAGCCTCTAGTGGAAATCTTACATCTTTCAATCGATTACCAGTAAACCCTGTGCCAAAAGCTTTCTAAAGTGGGACCATTTTAGACCAATTCTATGCTTCTGTCAGTGATTGGATAGAGCTAGATAGAAACCAGCCTGACGCTAATAAAGATGATATCAGCCACAGCAATCTAGCCCTACCTGCACTGGTTAACATGCATCTACCCTAGTTTGTTGCTCCGTTTGTTGCTGTTTTCGTGATGTGATGCATCTACTGACCTGAACAAGTAGTGAACTTGTAGTGGACTTGTAGTGGTCTTGTAGTGGTCTTGTAGTGGTCTTGTAGTGGTCTTGTAGTGGACATTCTCTATGCTTTGTTTAACGTTTGACCTATCATTGTGTTTTGTAGATTTCTCTTTGCCTTGCTTTTCCCCCTTGGTCAGACAGGTGGTCATTGCAAGAGAATAATTTGGTTCGCAATTGACCGACCTGCTGAAATAAAGGTTGAATAAAAGGTTGAAACAAAAGTTGTTGTTATTTAGCTGACTCTTAACCCTACCTAGAAATCCAAGCTAACCCTCCCTCTGCGTGTGTCTTCCAGGTCGCAGGGGAACAGAAGTACCATCCAGAATGCTTCACCTGTCTGAACTGCAGAGCCTTCATCGGAGACGGAGACACCTACGCACTGGTGGAGAGGTCCAAACTATACTGGTACATTATAATGATCATAAAAACCTTATACATTTCAGTCAGTGCTAATAGGGAGTAGGGTTTAGAGATTCAGCAGACTCAAGGGAAGGTCATTATTTATCATCGAGACGAGAGGTTGTAAATTGATCAGAATGTGAAGTTATTACAGTAACACCAGTGCTGTGCAGCGTGACCACTGTAGCCTAAAGCAGAAATAGAAATGTGGAAATAACGGTAGTAGTGGATAGAGAAGCAACGGACGTGAGGTGAGGAAGAGTGTACTGTATGACACACACACTGACACGAGGAGGGAGGAAGGGATGTTGAAATACAAAGCAGTCATTGTCCTGTCAGCTCTGAATGGAAGTGTCAGTGTGTGTGTGATGGGAGGTTGACTAGATCATTATTCTGACACTTGACATTCTGGCATGATGTTAGAATATTATTTCATTCTATCAGGTGATGCACACAGAAATGTAAATTGTCACTTATGTCCAAAATAAAAAGTGTGATATGCGTACATGACATTGTGTAAGAACAAATTAAATTTGCATTCCTATTTCTCTGTATTAATATTGCTTTACGGATATTCGTTCACTTGTCTGTTCTATCTATGCTGACCTCCCCCTGCCTCTCCCCCTTCTCCTTCCGCAGTGGCCACTGTTACTACCAGACCATCTTGACGCCGGTGTCCCTGCCAGACTCACCATGCGCCAGGATCCCCCACACAGTGACCCTGGTGTCCATCCCAGCCTCCACAGACGGGCGGAGAGGGATCTCAGTCGCCATCAACCAGCCTCTCAGCCCCAACGGCTATGGCCCAGAACACACTGTCAGGGTATCACAGTGAGTATAGAGGAAGGGTGGGGGGATAGGAGTGATGGAGGGTTGAGATATGGAGGGATAGGGAGAGAGAGGGAGAGAGGGAGAGAGAGAGAGATGGAAAATATTATTCCTTATCTCAGTGGGACTTCCTGGTTTAATTAACTATTGACTAGAATTTTAATAAATACACCAAGGGAGGGATAGAGTGGGGGATGGAGTGGGAGAGGGAGATGGGGATGGATGGGGAGGGAGAGGGGGATGGATCGGTAGGCTAACAGAAGGATGGGAGATGACTGAACGGGAGACATGGAAGTCAGAGAAAGGCACAGAATGGAAGTGAGGGAATGTGAGGACATTGTTATTTAAATCCAGTGTAGATTAAATACTATACCCATGTCCTTGTACAACAAAAGGGATGGAAAGGATCTAGCAGTATGTACACTGTCCTGTCTTTTATCTTTCCAGTGGACCAGGATACCATTCTGTACATGCTAGATTTTCTAAAGTCTCACGTTGTCATACTTCCTAGACTTATGATGTAATCACTTGGCTAATGGAATGGGAGAAAGATGGATATCGAGGTTAAATCTATGTCCAACTGCTTATCGCTGTTCTCTCATTCCTTGTCCAGGGTGGACTCTGAGTTGATCAGTCCAGATGTGAAGAACTCCATACATGTCGGAGACCGGATCCTGGAGATCAACGGAACACCCATCAGGAATGTTCCTCTCGATGAGGTAACCTAACTGACATCTCTTTACTTGTGTTGCTGATAGACATCAATGACATTGGTATTAGTGAGATGTTAATTAAATTCGAGGCTTGATGTTACAAGATCCAAGTTTAAGTCCTTACTCATGTTTAATCTACTGCATCATACCATGGAGTTGATAGACACTAGGGGGAAAACATCAACACTCTTAGCCATACTACATGCTATATGCTATGCTAGGTTCTATATGTTATGCTACATGCTAATGCTACACTGATCATCTTTTACCTCCGCTCCACCAGATTGACCTGCTCATCCAGGAGACCAGTCGTCTGCTCCAGCTGACCATAGAACACGACCCCCACGACCAGGGGTGTTCAGAGGGTGAGACAGTGGGCGGACCCCTAACCACCCCCCCTGTCTGACGGTCCCAGCCCCATCCTCCCCATCACCCAGCCCCCACACCCAGACATCAACAACCTGCGCTCACGCCTGATCACGTAAGGACTAATCTCAGTGACATTTACAGACGCACAAATACAGGCTGTTGTAGTCGTGGTGTTTTGGTTTATTTCAACCTCAAATACAGTATGAATAGAATCGAAAATGAAAGAATTACGCGACAAAATACAGATTTATATGAAATCTTCAACTAAATGAAATGTATACATAAATAAATGTACTAAACACATTTTAGACATAAATTATATAATTGGCCTACATTAATTACATTTTATTGGTGCAAATACGTGGGCTGACATATATTACATTATTTCAGTTCTTCAGTGAAATGGATGAGCATTTACATGTGTAACTGCAGTCCCTCTGTCGCTCCCATTTCCTAATTAGTCTATAATGGTAATAGCTGCTAGACTGGTGCCTTATGACAGGGCTCGCAGCACCATTTGTCTCCTCCACCTGTTCCATCTTTCTCTTTTTTTCCTTCTCTCCACCTCTCACTCCCTCTCTCTTCTTTTATCTCTCTCGCCCTCTCTCTTTCTCTGTCTCCGTCTCTCTACTCTCTCCCCTCGCTCTCTCCTCCTCTCCCCCCTCTCTCTCCAGGCGGAGCTACAGTACTGATAAGTCTCCGTGCTCCAGTAATGCAGTGTCCCCTCTCTCTCAGAGGAAGGACATTAACCGCTCCGAGTCGCTGCGAGTCGTCTCCAACAGTCGCATGCACCGGATCTTCCGGCCCTCAGACCTCATCCATGGAGAGGTGCTGGGAAAAGGCTGCTTTGGACAGGCCATCAAGGTAAACACCAACCTCCACACACTCTGGTTTTCATTTGTTGACTGATGACTTGGGTATGACGTGGCCATTGTCTGTTCAACTGTCCTCTCTGTTAAAGATGACCATGGAAAAGCAACTAATTTTGGGGGACAGTTCCAACACCTTAAAAATCCCACTTCACACTACTGAATGTGTGTCAAATGTTACTGCGTAGGAGCATAATATATACTGTGTTCAAAAGTTCCAGAAGATGGCAGCATTGAGATGCTTTACTGAATGGCCTCGGATGTAACCAGAATGTACAGTAGCCTATATGTGTGCATCTGCTGCTTGGAAGATGCACTCAAGCAGGGAGCAAATATCCGCTTTGAGAGGGGGACAACATATATCCAGGGTTTTTATTCCTTAACAGTTCTCAGATTCCCAGACTTTACCTGTTGGGGTGAAATGAGCTTTGAACAGAAAATGCCCCCATGCCCTGTGGCACAGGCTGATGACAACAGGCTGATGACATCACAGTGTGTGTGTTTCTGCAGGTGACCCACAGAGAGACAGGGGAGGTGATGGTGATGAAGGAGTTGATTCGTTTCGATGACGAGACACAGAGGACATTCCTAAAAGAGGTGGGTGACATCACTCTATTTGACCCTTGACTTCTTTTGCCTTTGTTGATATGACACTGTCAGGGTTCAACGGGGTCAATTCAGGAGATACATTGAGATTCTAAATTCAATTTGCTTATGAATGATTTCAGAAGATTTTAAATATATATTAAGGGTTTATGAAGGCACACCATCCATCTCTTTCCCTTACTCCATTGATTTGAACCACCACAGGCAATGACAAGCTCCGTGCTTGTCCCAAAGAGCTCCCACTTCTTCTAAGAACAGTACAAACCTGTGCTATGTATCTACAGAACATGTATCATCAAGAACAATGCTTTGGCTTAGTTTAGTGACAGAGATCACAGACCATGTTTCCAACCCTGGCCACTATTGTTAACACTGCTGGGCTAGGTTTACCACAGAATGTAGTTTATCAAGCTCTGAATGTCATGCTTAGATGATCATCATACACACCCCTACACCTCGTAAAAAGTACCTGTCATGAGGTGAGGTGTATGTGTGGTGGAAGTCAGGCGCAGGACACCGAGGCTCAGTCCAACAGAGTTTACTCAGAAATTCCAAAAGGAAACGGTAAACAAACGACCTCCAAACATAAGAGGCGAGCATTTACGCAAAAAGCGTAAAACACTAGAATAACAAAACAAGAAACAAAACACGCAGCACAAAGACAGGCGAACAACAACACACAATCCTACCAAGCAAAAAGACGGAACTTATAGGACAGGTGATGAATACACAATAGGACACAGGTGTGACAGACAGACAAAAGCAATCACACACAGAAACATAGATCAGTGGCAGCTAGTACTCCGGGGACGGCGACCGCCGACGCCTGCTCGTACCAGGAGGGGGAGCAGCCTCGGCAGAATCCGTGACAGTACCCCCCCCTTGACGCGCGGCTCCAGCCGTGCGCCGACCCCGGCCTCGGGGACGGCCAGGAGGACGCGGACCCGGGCGCGTGGGATGCCCACGGTGGAAATCAGTCAGGAGGGATGGATCGAGGATGTCCCTCCTGGGCACCCAGCACCGTTCCTCCGGACCGTACCCCTCCCACTCCACGAGATACTGGAGACCACTCATCCGGCGCCTCGAGTCCAAGATGGTCCGGACTCTATACGCCGGGGCCCCCTCGATGTCCAAAGGGGGCGGAGGGGTCTCTCCTATCTCATTATCCTGGAGTGGACCAGCTACCACCGGCCTGAGAAGAGACACATGGAACGAGGGGTTAATATTTTTGTACTCTATAGGCAGTTGTAACCTGTAACACACCTCGTTCAACCTTCTCAGGACTTTAAAGGGCCCCACAAACCGCCGACCCAGCTTCCGGCAGGGCAGGCGGAGGGGCAGGTTTCGAGTCGAGAGCCAGACTCGATCTCCCGGTGCGTACACCGGCCCCTCACTGCGGTGGCGATCGGCGCTCGCCTTTTGTTGACGGATGGCACGCTGCAGATGGACATGGGCAGCGTCCCACGTCTCCTCCGAGCGCCGAATCCACTCGTCCACCGCAGGGGCCTCGGTCTGGCTCTCGTGCCACGGTGCCAGGACCGGCTGATACCCTAAAATACACTGGAAAGGTGTTAATCCGGTGGAGGAGTGGCGGAGAGAGTTCTGGGCCATCTCTGCCCAGGGGATATACCTCGACCACTCCTCCGGCCGGTCCCGGCAATAGGACCTCAAAAACCTACCCACATCCTGGTTCACACGTTCAACCTGCCCATTGCTCTCTGGGTGGTACCCCGAGGTAAGGCTAACCGAGACCCCCAGGCGTTCCATGAAAGCCCCCCAGACTCTGGAGGTGAACTGGGGACCTCGGTCGGACACAATATCCTCGGGGACCCCATAGTGCCGGAACACGTGGGTAAAGAGGGCCTCGGCGGTCTGTAGGGCAGTAGGGAGACCCGGCAGTGGGAGGAGACGACAGGCCTTAGAAAACCGATCCACAACGACCAAAATGGTGGTATTACCCTGGGAAGGGGGTAGATCGGTCACAAAATCTACCGAGAGGTGGGACCATGGTCGTTGTGGAACGGGCAGAGGATGTAACTTACCTCTGGGCAAATGTCTAGGTGCCTTACACTGGGCACATACCGAGCAGGAGGAGACATAAACCCTCACATCCCTGGCTAACGTTGGCCACCAGTATTTTACGCTAAGGCAGTGCACCGTCCGACCAATACCAGGATGTCCAGAGGAGGGTGATGTATGAGCCCAAGAAATAAGCCGATCACGAACCTCGAGCGGAACGTACGTCCGCCCCACAGGACACTCGGGGGGAGTAGGGTCGGTACGCAGCGCCCGCTCGATTTCCGCATCGACCTCCCATACTACCGGAGCCACCAGACAAGACTCCGGCAGTATGGAAATAGGCTCAATGGACCTCTCCTCTGTGTCATACTGCCGGGACAGGGCGTCTGCCTTACCGTTCTGGGACCCAGGGATGTAGGTGATCTTAAAAACAAACCGGGTCAGGAACATGTTCCACCTAGCCTGACGAGGGTTCAATCTCCTAGCTGCCCGGATGTACTCCAGGTTACGGTGATCAGTCAGAATGAGGAAAGGGTGTTGAGCCCCCTCAAGCCAATGCCTCCACACCTTTAGGGCCTGGACTACAGCTAACAGCTCCCTGTCCCCAACGTCATAATTGCGCTCCGCCGAGCTGAGCTTCTTAGAGTAGAATGCACAGGGGCGGAGCTTAGGTGGCGTGCCGGACCGTTGTGACAGGACTGCCCCAATACCGGTCTCGGACGCGTCCACCTCTACTTGGAAAGGCAAAGAGGGATCCGGATGCGCCAGCACCGGGGCCGAGGCGAACAGGTTCTTCAGCTTGACAAATGCCCTGTCCGCCTCAGCTGACCACTGCAAGCGCACCGGACCCCCCTTTAGCAGGGACGTAATGGGAACTGCAACCTGTCCAAAGCCCCGGATAAACCTCCGGTAGTAATTAGCAAAACCCAAGAACCGCTGCACCTCTTTTACGGTGGTTGGAGTTTGCCAATTACGCACAGCCGATACCCGATCTACCTCTATCTCCACGCCAGACGCGGACAAACGATAACCCAAAAAGGAGACGGACTCCTGGAAGAACAGGCATTTCTCTGCCTTGACATACAAGTCATGCTCCAACAGTCGTCTCAATACTCGGCGCACCTGGGCTACATGCTCGGCTCGTGTAGAAGAGTACACCAGGATGTCGTCGATGTAAACTACTACACCCTGCCCATGCATGTCCCGGAAAATCTCGTCAACAAAGGATTGGAAGACTGAAGGAGCATTCATTAACCCGTATGGCATGACGAGATACTCGTAATGACCCGAGGTGGTACTAAATGCTGTCTTCCATTCATCCCCCCCCTTAATGCGCACCAGATTGTACGCGCTCCTGAGATCTAACTTTGTGAAGAATCGCGCTCCGCGTAATGATTCCGTCATCGTCGCAATCAGTGGCAGTGGGTAGCTGTATTTAACTGTAATCTGATTGAGACTACGATAATCAATACACGGGCGCAATCCCCCGTCCTTCTTCTTCACAAAGAAGAAACTCGAGGAGACTGGGGAAGTAGAGGGCCGTATGTATCCCTGTGCCAAGGACTCGGCTATGTATGTCTCCATAGCCGCTGTCTCCTCTTGAGACAGGGGATACACATGACTCCTGGGAAGAGCTGCTCCAGTCTGGATATTTATCGCACAGTCCCCCTGTCTATGAGGAGGTAGCCTTGCTGCCCTCGATTTACTAAATACCAGTGCTAAATCCTCATACTCGGGGGGAATGCGCAGTGCGGGCACTTGGTTCGGACTCTCTACCGAGGTCGCCCCTATGGAAACACCTAGACATCTCCCTACACACTGGGCAGACCACTCCATAAGAGCCCTCTGTTGCCACGCTATGGTAGGATCGTGGGTACTTAACCAGGGAAGCCCCAACACCACTGGGTACGCAGGAGAGTCAATCAGATAGAACTGAATGATCTCCTCATGACCCCCCTGCGTAGTCATCGTCAGTGGTGCTGTGACATCCCTGATCAGACCCGACCCCAACGGCCGGCTGTCTAATGCATGGACAGGGAATGGAACTTCTACCGGCCGAAGGGGAATTCCTAACCTAGCACAAAATTTACGATCAATAAAGTTCCCAGCTGCGCCTGAATCTACTAGCGCCTTATGCTGGGAATGAGGTGCCACCTGTGGAAAACGCACAGGAATACTCATGTGACCAACAGAGAGCTCTGGGTAAGTGGGGCGCCTACTCACCTGAAATGACTCCCCAGTGCGTGACCTGTTGTCCCCTCTCTCAGAAGACCCTCCCCAGCACCTGACCGTGGTGTGTCCTCCACGGCCACAGTTGGTGCAGGGGTTGGCCCTCCTCGGGTTCTCCCTCCTCCTCTCTCTAGCGCCAGCACCCCCGAGCTCCATAGGAATAGGCTCGGAGGTGCTGGAGGATGGAATGGACGACCCCCACTCGGGACGTCCGCGGGGTAGCCAGCAGGGTGTCTAGACTGATGGAGATGTCCACCAGCTGGTCGAACGACAGGTTGGTGTCCCTGCAGGCCATCTCACGACGGACGTCCTCTCGTAGGCTACACCGATAGTGGTCAATGAGGGCCCTCTCATTCCATCCCGCATCCGCTGCTAGTGTCCGGAACTCCAGTGCGAACTCCTGTGCGCTCCTCCTCTCCTGTCGGAGGTGGAATAGACGCTCTCCCGCCGCTTTCCCCCTCAGGTGGATGATCGAAGACAGTCCTGAAGCGGCGGGAAAAACTCCGCGTAGGTGATGGTGGCGGCGTCTATTCCCCTCCATTCGGCGTTGGCCCACTCCAACGCATTCCCGGAGAGACAGGAGATGAGGGCGGAGACGCTCTCGTATCCCGAGGGCGCCGGGTGTATGGTGGCAAGGTAAAGTTCAACCTGTAGGAGAAAGCCCTGACACCGGCTGCAGAAAACCGTCATATGCCCTCGGGAGCGAGAGCCGAATGCCACTGGGTTCCGGTGCTGAGAGAGGAGGACTGGCCGTTGGTGCTGGGATGGTGTGA